GCGGCCGCCTCTTCCGCCGCCCCGCTTCCGCCCGCGGGGCCCCGCCCCCTGAACCGCCCCGACAAGCCCCGCCCCCTGCGGCGAGGCCCCGCCCCCTGTCGGCGGGACCGCGGGTTCGAGTCCCGCCCGCGCAATCCCGGCCCCGGGCAACGTCCTCCCGGGCGCTACCTGGCACCGGCACGGGCTGCACCTTCCAACACCTGCCCGAAACCGACTGGGACTGAGGTGCAACACTCATGAAATACAACAAAATGTTCAGCGCAGCCCATCACGCAGCCCCGTCCTACAGGACATGGTGCCTACAGGGCAGGTACATGCAAACTGCAATGCATACAGGAGCTGTGGCTCAGCTTTACAAAAGCAGAAGTTACTCTGCTCTGAGCCAACCGTCTAAATCTATTAAACACATTATGACAGAGAAACATAATACTTAAATGCTAATATATTTAATCACTGTAGTCATACATACCAGGAAGTGAAATCATGTTCCAGAATCTATGATCTATGATTCAGCCCCAATTCTATAAATGTAAAAGAATATACAAGTAGTATTTACTATTTTGTATGAAACAGCTGAATTTTAAAATAATATGTTAAAAGATGTATTTTCAGTCAAGATTATTATAGATAAGATTACATTTCAGTACTTGCCTATATCTGTTATTTCAAGCAACACATAATTCTTTGAGGAATTTGTGGCTCTTGGGCTTGACCCTGCTTATAGCAGGTTTATTTCTTTTGTAACTTGTTATTCTCAGTACACATGAGTGCCACTGAAAGCAAACTTTGACCCTCTAGGAGTTCACCAAAGAACATCTCAAAAAATATTTCCCATTTTCTTACTTTGCATTCTTTGCATTATTCAGTAGTCCTAACAGCGGGGAAAGGCCCAAAGCAGGTCATATTTTTCCAAATGATTTTGTTTTCCTTCAGTCCCTGTGGTGCCTGCACAGAGATGAGCTCTCTTTCAAGTTACCTTCAAATGGTCACGGACAGCCGCTTTGCCCTCAAATGTCAAGCTGTCACTGAAATACATAAAAAAATCAGTCAGAAAAAAAAAAAAAAAAAACAGCAGAGGAAGAAAAAAGTTTTGCTGACAGACTATTAGAATTGTGTGGGTTTTTTAAGTCCAGTTATACTTCCAAAATGATAAGTATCATTAATACCTTAATAGTGTACATGAACACATAAACCACAGGAGTACCACATACCAGGAGTATGCAGCTAGTTTGCTGGTGCTTCGTGCAAAGAACTGGTATCTACTGAATAACTATGACTTAGCTTTTCAGACACTTTAAGATGTTTACTCAAGTGACTCAAATATTTTAGAGGAAAACATAAAATAACATTAGTAAATTTACTGATTCATTAAAGAAAAATTAATTTTTATTACAGCAGTAGAAAAATATTCTATGATTAGGTCAAGTTCTGGTTTGCATCTATGCAGAATGTTAATGAATGCCTTCAAATTTTAACCCTTTCTCAATATACCCACCTGAGATTAACACCTCAGCACTTCATCTTCTTGTCAGCAGGGTCCCCACCACTTCTCAGGAAAGAAAAGAAACACCTGACAAAACTCCAAAGCCGTGATGCCGTGATGAAGTGCGTCTGTGGCTACGACACAACTTCTGCATCCCTTCTATAGAAGACAAGGAAAAGCAGCAGCTTGAGACAGCTCAAGGCTTCTTTGCTTAGTCCATATAAATAATGACTTATTCTATAGGGCATGAGTTACTCAGTCCTGTTGTAGTTACCTGTTACATCTGAAATATCAGATAGTACCTTCACGGTACAAGAGCCTTGAGGGAATCTTGAAAGTACCCTTGTTTTCAGCTTGGAAAGGCAGTCTGTGGAAAGCAGAATTTGCAGAGGGATCCACCTTTACCACAACAACCTGCAGCCTTGGACAGTGACTCTCTCCCCATGCACATCACTGTCCTAGCATTAAATGCACATTAGCCTTAAGAATGTTTGCAACGTATTTCATGTAAAACTTGGAGGCTCTATCAATTGTTTGGCCACTTCTTATTTGAATCTGACACAATACAGAGCACTCAGTAGCTTTAGGTTGGTTTTGCACTTAGTTTTAGGTTTCCTGTAAGTCATAGAGGCACAGACACCTCCTGAGAGTGATTCAGAGCAGGACCCTCTCTGCCTCCCTCTCTGGAGGTCGAAGTCTAATTTAGATCTCCAAGACTTGCCACCATGAAGTGCTCCCTCACCCCCTCTTGTAAGTCATAAATTACTTGTAACTGCAGACTGCTGACTATCTTAGCTCTAAAGTATGAGGATCTGTCCAAAAAAGAGTGATGCGAGATTTACTGAGCAGAGATACAGGGCAGGAGCAAGGCTAGTGGCCTTGCTGAGAGCCACCGGGACTCTGCAGCCACCCGCCAGCTAGGCCCATTCCCACACTGTGCTGCGAGAAGCACTTGTTTCAAACGGGCCCCAAAGAGGAAGACCACATCGCAAACCACTGTTCCTTGCTTAGGGATGCCTCCTGTCTGAAAAGCTTTAAACATGAAAAATTATTCACATTAATTTTAATCGTTTAGCTCTTGAGACATCTCAAATGTTACCTTTATTTGAATCAAGTGCAAATATACTGTGAGGTTGGGAAACCTCTTAACTTGGCAAGACATCATGGAGGCAAGAAAAGGGTACTCTTCAGAGTCACTGGCATAAAATTAACCAACATTTTACACACTTGACCAAAGAAATGTCAAGCCACGAGAACATCGTTAAGTTTCACAATTACGTATTTACAGAATGTACATGCTTACATTTCAGCCATCTGCATTTGGAGATCTAACAGTCGCCTGGTACATAGGCATTACATAGGAATCACACACAGAACAGGATAAACCTAAATCACTTCATTGTCTATTAATCCTTTACTTAGTCAAATAAAGGAGTTAGTCTTAAACTTTTGCTACATTTTTGCAGATAAATGTTTCAAGTCATGTAAGAGAAGTAACAGTAGTAAGAAAAGAATTGTAACAGTCAGTAAAAATTGTTAAAACTTCACTCGGGTGGAGCTCTTCCCCAGGTTCTCATGGACAGGCCACCAGTGCCAATAAGCAACCAATGCAGTTCTCTTTTTAGACACGAGAGTTCTTCAAATAAATAGATACATAAATAACTTGAAATTCACTAAGCAAGGCTATAAAGCACTTAAGTATTTCTGTTTCCCCAACTATATGCAATTTAATGTTTTCACCTATTTGACAGTAGACCCCCACGAAAGCTTTATACTGGGTAAAAACAGTCGTCATTGTATTTTCTAGAACAACTTGAGTCAAAAGGAGCAGTGTCCGTTCAATCCATTTAAATGTCTAGATTAAATGTCTTTCAATTGTTGCCTTCTTCTTCACGTTTTCTGTATGCTTTATTCAACATTTGTATTTCTTCCTGATAACCATCTCTTTCCATATGTTGCTTTTTACTGTTCTGCCGATGAGCTTCAACCGTGTCTGGAATTGATATGTTAATATCGCTGCCAGGATTGTTTGATGGTATGAAGAGTGAATAGGAGGCAGATTCCCCTAAATCACACGAAACAAACCTGTTCTCTTTCCGTGAATACCGTAAGGATGGAGACCTCACCTGTGTGGAGGACTGGCTGATATTACTGATGATTGACACAGTATCCAGGGCCTCTTCATTGTCACAAATTTCAAGAACCTCTAAATGAATTTTAACGCTTGTGTCAGCAAATGTATTTGGTGACTTCTCCGGGTTGGGCTCATGACCAACGCTCTTAGATCGATATACTTCAATCTTCTTCGACGTGGGTGCTATTTTTTGCCCCTCAGTGCTTACCTCGTAGGTAGATAAGGAGAGAGTTTTCCCCGTGGGTGCCTGCAGAGACACAGTTCCTTGAAAGGCACACAGAGGAATAGCTAAGGCACCACCTGAGCGCTGCAAAGAAAAAAAATAACCATTACACAGTGCTACATTTTGAAGTCAAAATTCATTATAACACGTATATAACACCAAATATGCTTAGCTGATTTTACTGTTGTAGACTTTTCTTTGGAATATCTTAGAAAACAAGCATTTAAATGAATATTATGACGTTCTAAAGGGTAAAAAGAAGTGTTTTACAATGCAGACTGTATGATAAAAAACAAAGTCCCAAGCAACTGTGACTCAGCTATAGCTCGTGGACACACACACTTTGTTATAATATGTCTGCAGTCTTAAAATTTCATTGCAGCCAGTCTGCACGGAGGCAGCTGCTGTGAGCTGCTCTCTCTGCAAGTGTTTTCACTCTGCTTAATTTGGATCAGGATACTGGTCTCTCAAGGCTTCTCACAGAGTCAGCAGAGGGGGAGGAATCATACCAGAGCACAGCTGAAAACAGGACCCTAGTCTGACAACATCTGTTTCCCTTGGGCAGACTGTCTTAATTAGTCTTAACTAAATTAGGTGGCTAAATTTAGATGGCTTAAATAGCCAGCTAAGCTTTCCAAAATAATTTGTCAGATATTATTTATGAAACTCTTTTTATATCTTTATTTTGTGGTGAAAATTGTGCTTGCTAAATTACACCAGTTGGATATCTATGACAAGGATTTACAATGCTATTATGCTGATGGCTGCAGAAAACATTTAGACTCTTGCTCCCTACTCTATATTTCACAGTGGCTCTAGAAGCCCATATGTGGTGGCTTCCAGAACAAAAACTGAATTCACCAGTAGAGAAATGTTCACAAATTTGAAGATAGGAAAAAAAAAATTCAATTACAGCTGTGCTGTACTGAAGGACAAGCTCAAACTAAGGATTTTTAGCAGCTGCAAAGAAAGTAATTGCTCCAAACGGTGTACACAAATAAAGGCATTGCAGAGAGACGTCATCGCGAGTGCCGACGCGGGGGGCAGAAAGGGTTTGCTGCAGCAGACAGTGGTAGCTAATTCCACAGCAAGCTGTTCCGGGCTCCGGCTGCAGTGCCGCATGACACCTCCTGACTCTTTATCTCACACCACAGGGACTCACATTTTCACCTGGCAGAGGCCATCAACGCAGTGACTTGTGCTGGGCAAACAGAAGCGACTGCAGAAGGAGACACAGAACAAAGCAACACTCCAGCTGTAGAGACTTTCACTGCAGGGCTTACCTAGTGCTCCATCCCCAGCAGCTCTGCTACAGCTGGGCTCTGGCTGCTCACTGAGAAGGGCCAGGATTAGCACGGAGAGCTGCTTCTGATTCTCTATGAACACTACTAAAAGGAACAGCAGCCTGGCCCAAGGTAACTCCTTGGCAGACAGTGCCAGTGCTGACTCAGGGACAGTCATTTCACAAGGAAGGCTAGAGTAATTTAGAGGTAGACGTACATTAGAGAGGGCTCCTAAAACTGCGGAAAGCTGCGGAATGCAGCTCTGCAGGTGCACAGGCTGTAGAGCCCAGTGTGTGCTAAGGATAACGGAAAGGAGCCTAAGAGCAGGTGAAGCAGCCGCTACAGACCTCGGTGTTGCTGTTGCGAAGCTGCTTTCTCGGGACCACTGTGGGTCTTTCAAAGCTGCCTCGAACATCTCCAGATCACATTCCAGGGTGATGCGCCAACTGAGTCCTACCGCGCTGCAATGTCCTCTTCAGCTCAGGAGCTGCCTGACTTCCCTGCTGGCTTCGCTGCCTGCCGCTGCTGCTGCTGCTCTCCAGAAGGGCAACTCACCAGCCGGATGTCATTCCCTCACTTTCCCACACGCACACACTCCCCTTAGCAGAACGTAATTTTCTGGAAGATTAGGGAATATGATGCATTGCTAGAGCAATCAATGAATGGGGTGAAAAAAATGACAAAATGTGACATGGGTTCAGTAACTAGAGGAAGAAAGAGAGATGATTTATCAGGATGTGAGAACTGAAGGGATTTAAGGAGCTTGGATAGCGCATTTCTTCCTGCCAATGCAAGGCAAGGCTAAGATGAGGGAGGGAGACAACTGTCTAGGAGAGCAGGATCTTCCTCTTCATTTTGAGTGTTGTGATTAATCTATCTGCAACCAAGAGATAAGCAGCAGAAATCCCCAGCTTCCAAAAGGACCAGCCTCGTGCACATGTGTTACACAAGGACACCCTGCACTCACCTGCTACAGCAGAACTGCCACAGTCTGCTAATTTGGCTTGGGCAAACAGTGTGGAAAGCAAGAGAGGAAGAACGGGAAGAATAAAATGTGTGGAAGTGTGCAAAGCAAGAGAGGAAAAATGGGAAGAATGATGGAAAGGGCAGACTTAGCAAGTGGCAGCATGGAGGCGAGTGAGCATTACCTTAGGCATAGAAAGGATCCCATTTCGGCCAGTTCTGGTTAATACCTCCTTGCCAGTAAAACACAGAAAGTAAGCAAAACCAAAATGGTTTAGTATACTAATTTGAAATGTGAAATTGTTCTTAGGCAGCTGGTAAGCACAATTATTTGCTCCTTATTAAAAGAAGGGGTTGTGACGAGACTTCTCCAGCGTACATGGCAGGGACACAGCTCATCTATGACTCCATGCCTCGCCTTCACTAAAGAGCATGAAGGGGAAGAGCCCAGGAGGGCTGGACAGGCCTTCAGGCCAGGGGCAAAGGGCTGGGAAACGCTGCCTTTACCCACTGTTCCTCCAAAGGAGGGAACAAGGCTCTTCTGGCTTTGTGAACAGCCAGGTACAATTACCTTCAGTAGGAATTAGTGTATATGAGAAGAGACTGATCTTGGCTGACCAAGATTTCGACCTTGATAACCTTATGAAACATTCATTTTTGCTTTTTAAACAGCCATTAACACCCCATTACCTTATGACCCATGCATGGCAATTAAACAAGAACGTACCTAGCAGAGCAGCCTACACCGGGTTTTGCTGGGAAGGAGGGTTTTGCCTTTCGCTCCCATTGCTACTGAGAGTCTTGTAATGTAATTTCACTGGAAAACAGGAAGCAATGTGAATAATGCCAAGCAGTGGCCTTCAACTTCCCCACTGAGGTTCTTGTGTCTCAACCCTGCATTACTTCAGCACCCACACTTGTTGTGAATCATCTTTTTACTTCAAACCAGAGGGTTTTTTGAAAGGGTACTGCCTCATTGCCCTCTCCATATGCTTGTCCCTCCACTCTTTGTATTCTTGTATTTAAAAGAAAAACTACTTTCAGAAAGAGACATCTCCTCCCACAGCATCTACATTAGGTGTTTGGTTCTAAACCACTGTAACTATAACAAAGATGTTGGTAAGAAGGCACAGAAAGCTCACAGTTAACCACTCCTGGAGCTGTCTGCAGAAAGACAATGTTTTGATGCTGTCTTATGCATTAGCGTAGAGGTGAAGAGCTCTGTGAAACAAATAAAACCCATCTTTTAAATCAAAGTGCCATTTTGCAGCCTTTGTGTCTCAGCAGCTTAGCAGATGCACACATATAGCTATTATTTCTGAAATAATAAGTTGAGTAAGTTGATAATTTGCAAAGTTGCTTAATATATATATCATGTGCCTTTCAGCAGGGTTGCGTTGCAGGATCTCTAAGGGAGTGACGCCAGCCCTGAGTTCCCTCCCCAGAGGAGCTGGTCCTCCCCTTGCCTAGTTGCACTCTTTGTGAATAGTGCTCATTCATTTCCGTCAGGTCCCGTCACTGGGCAGCTCCCTGTACAGCTCCTGTCTCACATAGCTGCCGGCTGTTCTCTCTGTTCAATCTAGGGCACAGTTCTCACTGGAGAACGACATGTACCAGAACATTAAATTTTAACAAGCAAAGAAAGAAGTTCCAAAGAAGTAAATCACAGATGTACTCATTTCTTTAAGAGTGCCACTGCATTTTGAATGGAGAAATCTTTGCATAATTGATACTGCAAATCCTTCCATTATTCACTCATCTGCCAGATTACATGGAAAACAGAAAACAGTTGTTATTGCTATAAGGCACATCTTCATCATAATCCTTGCAGCTTAAGACCAGCCTCTTTAATCCAATTTTGGCTGTCTGAGCAGGCTTTGAGCCTGATTCACCAGCTGAGCACCTAATGCAGGGAGCCTGCGCAGAGAACACAAACAAGCCCACGGGCACCTTGCCAAAGGGCCCTGGCAGAGCAGTGGCAGAGGGTCCTCCAAGAGACTAATCTTCCCCTTGCCTTGCCTTGCCTTGCCTTCCTTTCCCTTTCCCCTCAAAACAGACAGAGGGGTAAAACCCTTCTTTGCCTTTGGGCAGGACTGCAGAGTTTCTAAGTTACAAAAAGGCTGCACTAGGATTACTTGAAGACTATACATCAGATCCTTTATAGAATCTGTTACTGTATTTCTCACTGCGAATGGGTAGAAACCAAATCAAACCATCTTTTTCTACCCTGTTTTCCAAGAAATGCCTATCTTGTGTTAAAGATTAATAAAGGGGTGTTACATATCTAGTACTCTTGAAAGAAACTGTAATTTCATCACTTGCCAAAACAGGGCCTTATTCTGCATGCTGCTAAGTGCCTCCCAAGGACGTATGGCATTCTCTCGGCTTCCCCTTAGTGGCTGGAGTTGATCAGGCAATTTCCACTGCCGGGCACTTCTGGAGAAATCAGGAGCGTAAGACTGTAATCAAGTTTAAGTACCATTTTTTATATTTACATTTGATTACACAGGAGGGAAAGGAAAGCTCCATTCTCCAAACACAGTTATCAATGAGCACTTCACCTCCTCAGAACAAAACTGACTCTGCTCCAAAAGCAGATCCTTAGATAGATAATACTGGCTAGCACTTGAAATCCGAAGAAGAAAGATGCTTGTAAAATAAGTCCCACGACCTGAGTGGGGACTCAAGCAGCTCACAGCTCAAGTTTGATTTTGAAGACAACAAATTGCCTCAATTTATTGCTGTTGCAATACCATGAATACTGCGTTGCAATGGAGAAAGAAGGGAATGCTAAGGTGATTGGGAGGAGAAAGGAAGAACCTAAGAACCTGGACTTCC